GCCACCACCACAGCCAGAAGCAGCAGCAACAGAAGCAGCAGCTGTGCCAGCAGCTGTGCAAGAACTGACTCAAAACAAACAGCTTGTTTAGCAGCAACATACTCACTTCCAATACCCGGCAGCACGTCAGCAGTTGCAGCAACAACCTCATCATCAACATCTAGAACAGCAGCTCCAGAAGCAGGATCATCATCAGCATCAGCATCAGCAGCACCAGGAATCACGTGACCAATGTCAGCAGTCGCAAATCTATCCAACTCACCACCATCAGCTGCCGACGCCCACACACACACAGCAGCAACAGCTATCGCTGGTGGCTCACACACCGCAGCACCAGTCATCACCTGTGTCTCAGAAGCACAACCATCAGGCACAGGAACCCTTGCCTCAGCATCAGCAACAGCAGCACTCTCTCCCATCGCCGATGCAGCTGCACCAGCAGCAGCTGCCGCTGCAGCAGCATTTTGCACAGCATTCGACAACTGCTCAGCCAACACTATTTCATGCAGGACAATTGCTGCACCCTGTACTGCCCTCGCATGACGCTCACTCTCTGTCAGCACCAAGACACCTCCCAAAAAGGCAATACTAAGCAAACACACCTTACATGGCTTGAAAACACTGTTCTCATGAGCTTAACAACAGCCTTTTCAAAATGGTACTTCAGCCAGCTTCGTGAATGGATGTGTTAAAAACTGTCCACAAGGTCTTTAAGGCTCATCATCACTTTCAACTAAACGATTTTGTTATTATTATCAAGATCTAGCTAGCTCCTTAGTTTTACGGAGTTGACGATTTTTTTATTATATCTTATTCAAAAAAGAGGTATGAAGTGTACAGCTGCAAACTTAATACTCGCTGTGCATAGCTTATATGATATTGAATTATCGTATCAACGCTGTCCAACACTGAATGTGTTAAAGGTTATTTCATTAGAGATGGAGCTGGGATGTTGCTTTTTAAGCTGTGGAAATAGTCAATCAGACGACTGCCACATTTGTAGAAGTTCCTTTTTCAAATGTCTCGTCAATTTCATTTTCCGCATGTTGTCTTCACTAACATTACCCATGATGCTGGCCACATGTATATAGCGTCAGTAGAATTGCAGCTCAACATCCTAATCCGCACTGCATTCAGTCTTGTTTCTACCCACTCACTGTCAGGATCGGGTATTTCCCCTCCAATTAGTAACCATAGTAACCGTTTCTTTTTAGTTCACTTTTTCGGCTGATCTGCTCATCCCGCAGAAATGTGTCAATACTAATGCTGGCCTAACAGGTTCTACAACTGCTGAAGGAAGTCTTGTCTTATGCGCTGAGTCTTCAACACTCATAATTATCGTATCTGTTTTCAAAATAATGAGATGGTGTCTTCCTCTTATTCGAATGATTATTTGTGTTGGAGTAATTGAAGTACACATGTGCAAACACAGCACAGAAAACAGTACTCGATAATGACGTATTCGTCGGCAAAATCGTTAGAAGGTAACTAGAGACGCTTCTTTTGAAGTCATTCTTGGCTAGACTGATAAAGCACGAGACAGAAAGGTAGTGGTACTATGCCTTGCATATTCCAGTACTAGAGCACATCATGTATGCATGTTCCATTTGTAGTTATAATTACAAGATGGTGGAAAAAGCTAGGTGTCTGGAGATTTAGTAGTTTATGACTACAATCATGTTGTCATGCTCCTACCTCCGAAAGGATGTTTAACTATGCTTCAAATTTTCAACCACAAAAAATTTAATTATGCCTATAATTATGCCAGCATAATCCGCCTGTGCCTAACCATGGTCGCCGATCTGGGCGAGACTGGTGTGTACGTCGTGGTGCGAAGTAAGCACAGTACAAGTGTGCTGTGTTGATAAGCGAGTACCGCCAGGGCGACCGGACGTCTCACATTGATAACTGCGGAAATTCCTCAGCTGGTGGCAAAAGCTGCATTGAGCCCTGGGCTTCTTTCAGTGCGACGACGTGATCAGGGTTCCAGTTCCAGTACCAAGTTTCGACGTGTTGCTGGGTTGCTGGTGCTTGTTGTGGGTATGCAAGGTTGCTGAAATTGAATCCCTATTTTCAGAAAAAGCTCAAAAGTTGCTAATATCGCAGCTTAAAATGAGCGACTTCTCGTGCATAATGACACCAATAATAACCAAAAATGGAGCGGAAATAGACAACACTGTGGCACAGCACAACTACCTGCGTTATGGGGAAATGAACAGACTTGGAATAAGTCATTGTCCTTATTGTTAAACCTTCGCACAGCATTCATGACATAGCGGCATGCTCAGGGCTGCCACATACACGTACAAACATGTACATTTGTATGTACACAGTGTCTGCTCTAGGATTGCAGGACAGCCGGGTACACGTGTACCTGGCGCAACCATTTCAACCGGGTCGGAGCCGGGTACACATGTACGCCCAATGATATAAAGGCTAATGGATAAGCCGCATTTATAAAAGAGATATTTTTTTTTATAAAAGAGAGGACAGGAATTAGAAAATTACGAAAGAAGAAGAAGTATCTGACACATGTATGTACAAGCCATGTAGTCATTCCTTTCAAATTTTGAATCAAAGTTCGAAAGTGTAAAGTACCAACCGGGTCACAGGTGACCCGGTACTATATTTTCAACCAGGTCCAAGCGCCGCCCAACCGGGTGGATTACCCGGCTCACCCGGCGCTGGAGCAGACACTGATGTACAGTAAGATCAGGCGTAGAAGTCACTTCGGCAAAGAACACTTTTTTTAGCTGAATATCACAGAACCATCAGACTTACATGACTTAGGCTGGAAAATGGGTAAATTCAGGCTAGATTTGCAGATTTTTGAAAGAACGCACGTACCATTTTCTGCATGTTTTCCAAGTGGTGTAATCGCATTGTATGTGCATGATCGTGGAATAAGAACAAAACGACTAACGCCGTTCAACATTTTGAAAAATTCTAGGCTGTGCCTTGAGCTCATGCGTTCTTTGGCGCCCGATCTTACTGTTCTTCGTGAAGTACACTTGTCATGATGATTTGATGCTTAGCGATTCTTGTTGAAGCGGAGCATCACGGACACACTTCATTGGTCTCTACCAGGGCCCTTCTCTGCACAAAGTTGCGGAAAAGTGGCGAAGTATTTTGTGAAAATGAAGAATGTTGCGAAAGCTGCCAAAGCTGCGATTTCTTCCAAAACTACAAAAAGTTGGGAAGAAAGTGGCGAGCATCTTTGGGAAAGGGCTACATTGCATACCTAAGGGGGGAATTTTCCGAAAAGTTGTAGTAACTGACTGATAACAGAGTTCGATATTGCAGAGTGGATGGGAAAGAGAGGTCTGCTCTGAAACCTCATCCTACCTTATTAGGGTATTGAGCACTATTTGCAGCAAGGACTTCACACACTTTGTCCTACTGAAGAATAATAATTTTTTAAACAATCGTCGAGGGGACAGTGTTCATTGCCATTTTACTATACGGAAGAATATTTTTCTTATTGTCCGCAAACTCCAACGCAGCCACTTACACATTTCTGAAACGTAGTAGTAGTAGTAGTAGTATTGTTTTGTTTTTAGTGGAGAAACCAAAACAGGCAGATGCCTAAGAACAATGGACCCACTGTGTAGGGTGGAGGAGGGGGGAGACATGGCTAGTGGTAAATAGTGGCGTCGAAATAGAGCAGTTTCAGCACAGCTACAGAAACATGGGCGTAAAGCTAAAAGCCGGCAAGAATGTGTTGCAAAGCGCTTGACTTGAAGGCGGCTAGTTTGGTGACGCCTCGGATATCCGCATGGAGGGAATTCCAAAGAACTGCGCCAGCATGTGTCACCAATTTGGTAGAATGTGCAGAAGCAGCTGCAGGGAAGATAAGCAGGCAAATGTTGCCTCCTCGAGTTCTTCGTGACAAAAGAGGTCGAAATAAAGTTTCAAACATGTACAGTACTTCTTGAAGAATTTAGACTACGCCATATAAAGCAGAGCAAGTTAAGTTGAATGGTAGCGCGCAAGGGAGAGACATGTACACGCTCAAGCAGCGTAACAGTGGGGGTCCATGGGGACTTTACATACAGCACACAGTGCGCGCTTGAAGAGCCTTTCCAGAGGGAGCTCCTGGTGAAAAGATAGATATGGGGTATAAGCATTGGATGCATACAGAAACTCAGGCAGCACAAAGCATTTGAAATAGCAGATACCACATGAGAGGGGTAAAGATGCAGCATGGCGGACTAAGACAGCTATTTTTGCAGAAACCCTGATAGCAACATGTTGAACCATTGTCTGCCAGCTCATTGATGTGTCAAAATGTAAGCCTAGATACTTGGCCAATGGTACCACCGGCAGATCTTGACTGTTGCATGTCACGCGTAGGGCAAAGGGTGGTGCTCTCCGTCACTGCTCAACTTCAATAACTCACATATTTACACCACTATGACTGTTACCTTTCTCATCAGTGCCATTAGATGTTTTATTCATTGTATATACTTGACTGACAAACCCAAGGTACGGGACGTTACTATGGTAATGAAGAAGACTCGCGAGCAAAGGCAACGGAGGTGTGAACCACGAATGGGTCTTCTCCAGGAAATCGACCATCGTTCCGGCATCCAGTGTCATTTTTTCGGGCAGTGCTAGTTGTTGTGACTGACGATTTATTCTCCGTTTTGTCACGTAGTAGGTCTATGTTGCATCTTGCTGTGCTAGAAGAAGCTTTGTACATGCGTAGACCTACGCTGGATCCTGAACTTTGTGTTCTGAAGAGTGAAGGAGAACGTGTTGTCTTTACAGCTGTTTGGATGTGTTGGTGGCGAAGGTGTGAAATAAATTCTTTGATCTCTTGACTTGATGCAATTTTGCAAGCGTTTTGTCACCCTTTAGTTTTCACGCTGTTTTGACTCTTCACCTAGATTTCTTTCTTCGTGTTATTTCTACACTTTATTGTAGTGTTGAATCTTTCAATCCTAACTCTTTGAACCCTATATCTTAATAGTTGTAGTGCTCATTGACTAGAACTTTTGTTATTGCTGCTTACAATGCCGCTTCGATAATTTTGTTGATTCCCGAACATTCGTTTTACCCAGGACACACTAGCTGCAAACGTAGCTTCCGCGGAGCAATTCGGACCGGAAGGCGGAACGACACAATGGAACCAGTCGTCGAGTCATAGGCCACCAGTACGCTTCACAACGGTGCGTCACCTATTCTTCTTTACGTTACAGGACACCAGCAGTCACCCTCGGCTCCTGTATTGGCGTGGATCAGAACACTATCTTGTCGTTGCGTTGACTCTCTCCGTATCCCCCGGACCATGACTTGCTGCTGTTCTCTGGACAAGCCAGTCACCTCGATTGTTTTGGCTACCATTGTGGTCGAACTCTTGGAAAAAGTATAGCCAAGTTAGTTCCAGAGACTCGATCGGCTGTTTTCACTGTCCTAGTTGTCACCAACTGCCGCCGGTTCGGAATGTCTTCCTCGCCGAGCACGTCAGAAGCAGAAGGCCACCAAGGGATGATGGGAGCTCAACCACTCTACTACATGTACATACCACAGTATATTCCGACGGTGGATTCTCAAGGTCAAAGACCAACGCATACTGTGCAGGGTAAGTGATGAAAGTTAATGTTTTCCTACTTGTGTGCTCTGTACATAATGTAGCGATGACACAATGTTTTTAAAATGTGCGGTCATATCACAAACATTTAACCAAAGTAATTATGGGTTCAAAGGGTTTTCTTGACACAATCATCAGTGACATATCGTGACTAATGGGAAATTAGAGAACAACAAAAGGATTTAGTTAAACAAAAATAGAGAAAGAGGTCCAGTTTGGATTTTTTCGTAACTCAAAGTTTCATCCTACTGCAATCATCAGACGACTGATACTACAACCTGAGACAAACTATTATGAATATAATCATGCTGGATACTTGGCGCTTAGGTTGACACAATATTTATAATATTTCACTGTCCTATGGTAAAAGCTTATGCAAAGGAGGGGGTGTTAGCCAGCCATGGCAAGAGAAGGAAAAGAAATAAGGAAGAACACAATTATCGGAAGAAAATAACACATCAACGGGGGTGAAATTGATCACTATGTTGACTGTGGTGAATAGTGGCGAGAGAAGCTAGCAAAAGAGGCGAGGGACCTTACAACTTGACATGACATAATATGGTCTTTGAACGTCTAATATCGGATATTGTCTTCATTTCCATGGGAAACTTGAGCCAGTACGATAATGCAGAAATGAGTGGAGATTTGGTAAACATAGTTGACAAAGCTCTGGGAAGTACTATGCCATTGCAAGTGTGCCGTGGGGAAGTAAACCAATTGAGATGTTCATTGACAATGTTAAGTTTAATACGATGGACTAGGACGCATGGCTATCTCTGGGATAGGATAGAGATGGGGCTGCTGGAGGCTAAACTATAAACTAGTAGATCAGTAGAGGGGAATAGATTAAACATTACTCTGCACGATTCCCAAATGAAGGCAAGTATCACACAGACGTTGTGGGTGTTGCGAGGGATAAGTATAATGTTAGCCCTGACATAATATGTCAGTGCTAACATTATACTTATCCCTCGCATATTATGCCAAACCAGTGCTGACAGTGCAGAATTCTACTGTCCCGGAGCGGCAGCTGCGACTGGCTACTAACTTGTTCTACTAGAACATGTATGTCATGCTAGGTGTGAAGTTTGGTTTATTTGATATTTTATTTTTGTTGCGGCATTTTGATACTAGAGAGGTTCTGCTACACGGAACTACGTACCAAACTCCGTGTCAACTGCAGTGAAGTTTGACACGGATTTTTCGTACGTTGCACCGGTTCTGCTGTACGTAGCATGCTCGAACCATGCACGAACACCCCGCCTACTCTGTACGCTTACTTTTCAAACGGAGTCCGGTCCGTGTGAAGCGCGCTTCACACGGAAAACGGTATGACAAAATCCGTATCAAACTAAATTCCGTACCGCTGTGAAGTTTCCATACGTACTTTGGCACGTTTTACCGTGTGGCAGAACCTCACTTCTTTTCTCACTCACACGTCAGTACTGCACACATACTCACACACACACTCTCTCTCTCTCTCACATACACACACACACACACTCACACACACTCATCACAGAATAACAACTGCGGGGGGACAGCCACAGCAACGGGGGGACAGCCACAGCAAGGCTGGTTGCACTCTTGTGTCCAGAACACAGACAGAAAAACGTCCAGCGAAAACAACACCTCATAGAGTGACAGCATTGTGCGAGGTGAATCATACAGAAAAGCACAGCAATCGACAGAGCATCCGCACATTCCACACCTCGCACAACTTATAACCTGTATTGTAGCAGCAATATTGAGAAATCTATCAGAGAGAGAGAGTAACGCAGCGCTCTCACAATCATGATCTGTGTGTGAAAACCGTACAAAGCTCCTCATTGGGAGGGAGGGTGGGAAACCAGCTTGCAAAGCAAGAAAACAAAAGATGAGGGACTGCGGCGTACCAGTACGCCCAAAACTGTTGGACCTCGGTCCCAGACCTGTTCGTTCGAAAAGAACAACATTTCTTGTTTATTTCGTAAAACTCAGCCAACAAGAAATGAAAACTTCTTTTCTCACTCACACGTCAGTACTGCACACATACTCACACACACACTCTCTCTCTCTCTCACATACACACACACACACACTCACACACACTCATCACAGAATAACAACTGCGGGGGGACAGCCACAGCAAGGACACTAAAGCATAGCAGTAGAGTCACACAGCTAGCACTTGAGACACCTGCAGCAGATTGGGCAGGGATTCCTGAATGTAAGCCTTCATAGCATCACTTCTCCATCCTCCCTGTCGCTGAATGAGCCTATCTGGTACTCCTGCTGCAGCAGCCGTGGATGCACCTCCCGATCTCAAACTGTGTAAACCATACTCATCTGGGTTTACGCCGATACGCTTCAGAGCTTCACGCACTAACTCTCTTGCTCTGCTGTAGGATAGCGAGTGCTTGATGGCGGTCCTGCCCTTTACACGAGCTATACGCCCGAACAGCTTGACATGACCTTGGTGCCCTCCTTTTTCAATCAGATGCTCCACTAGCGATACCGGGCACAGGTCACTCTCCCACCGGCTGATGAACACCCAGCTACCTTGCCTCAGTTGGTCGTTCTTGCGAACTTGCAGGAAGACCGCCATATGTGATGACTTGATGGCTACCTCATCCACGAAGATGTTGGCCAAATCATCCCACCTCATCATACCGGCATAACCCAGTACTATGAGGGTTAGGGTCTGCAGGTCTTGCAGTGATGAGCTTGACAGTTCCCGATGGAGGCGCTCCAGAAGTGGTTTTGATAATGGCAATTTTCTATCCTTCGGTCGAGCCAGAGAGCGCTTGGCTGCCTGCATCACATTCTTCACCACTCCGTTAGAGCATGGGTCCGAGTATCCCTGGATATCATGTTTCCATGACAAGGCGCACACGGCTGAGACCAATGGGCTGACAGTTTTGGCATCTTGCATGATGTAGACCAGATATAGGGCTACGTGAAATGGGTCTGCTGGCAGATGAGGCACCTTCTGACGCTCTGCCCATTTGCTCCATCTACAGAAAGCAGAGTCGTACTTCTTCACAGTTCTTGGTGCCCGACTCATATTCATAATGGATGGCAGACATTGTTCCAGCGCCTTCATGTCCTCTGAGAGGTTGTCCTTGGCTGGTTCTGAACAGAGAATAGAATGGTTTCTGTCAATGCTTCCTAGCTGGCTATGTCAGAGCAGTCGACTCGTCAGCTTCCTTCTTCCCCCAGGGGGATGTCGTCGCTATACCTGGCGATCTTCCACCACTCCTGCCATTCACTCGCACCCACAGCTTTCCACTGCCAGGCAGTTGCTTACGTGCTCAGAGCACAATCACCTCCCCACAGTGGGGACATCCTGCAGCAGGACCTCGCAGACACTGCATGCACGCATTCTCGCTCATCACCACATGCTCCACAAACAGACATCTTTCCGTCAGAGAAAAACTCCAGCGGCCGGCGAATTTCAGCATCCCTCTTCTAACAAACACAGTTTGTCACTGTACAAATGCGTAGTGCATACACGTCACAAGGACTCACACTGCCCCCAAAGAAATTGTATGGACAAGTACCCTCCAGGAAGGTATCATGAGACTTTGGCAGGCTGATTGCCTCCTTAACGAAATCTGCCCACTTTGGGCCGCAACGCAACTTTGGCCACCATGGCGCCGATTGCCATTCTGGAACAACCAAAGTACCGTGGCATTTTGACACGATCAACATATCTACCACACGCCCTATCAAGTACATTGGTGGTACCAGCCAAACTCTTTCTCCGCTCCAATTCACAGTGAATGCATCAATACCCGAGCACCCCGGGTTCCACCACCTTGAGCAGAATCTACTCATTTGCTTTGTTCTGCTGCTTGCAAAGCAATCAATGCTGTGAGGGCCCCACATCGAATCAAGCCAATCGAACAATTTGGGATTTAACTGCCAGTCATCCGTATCAGACAGCTTTGAAAGGTAATCGGCCAGCTCATTTTCTTCGCGAGGCACCCATTCTGCCAGCAACTGAATACCATGCACGGCGCACAGCTTGTGAATCTCCAGTGCTTCGCTCTGCAAATGAGATTTTGAACTGCCTACTTGTATTATGTGCACGGCTGCCTGGTTATCGCTTCTGTGAATGCAAACGCCACCTTCAATCTCTTTCGACAGCGAACTCAGAACCAACAAAATAGCTCGCAGCTCACGCCATGTGGAGCTGGCACCAGCCTGCACAATTTCTTTGGTCCATTCCCCTTTAGCTAATTCAGTTCCTTTTGATGTAACTGAGAAACCTCCCCAGCCAGAGTCGCTCGCGTCGGACCACGAGAGCACTGTCACCCTGGGGTCTTTTTTCCAAAAAGGTTGACCGTGGCATTGACTAAACGAGCCAGACCAAAACTCCAGATCTTGAAGCGCCATTTGAGACCAGCTGAGTTTTGCATGCCACGACTCACGGTTCATAATCAGTGCATAAAATGACCTCGTCCTCAACCTGCACACGGGGCCCAATGCCAGCGACATAGATAGCAAATACCCCGTAAGCCTGGCCAATTGTCTGGCAGTTGGATATTCGACCTGTGACAGCTTTTCTACAAACGTCTTCAGCTTTTCCACCCGTCCCTTAGTGACCCGTATGATCCCTTCCCTCATGTCGACTTCCATGCCAAGCATTTCTACCGTCTGTGAGGGCTCCCAGTGGCACTTATTTTCGTTTGGAACAAATCCGGCCTGAACTAGATCTGATTTCAATCTTTTCGCTACTGCCTGTGCACCCTCAACTGTAGAGTGCCCACCCGACCCGTCATCCATGTAAAGCTGGCATCTGATGCCGTCCCTCCGCCAGTGTCTTAGTAAGACACGGGTTACCTTCGTGAAAATGTATGGGGCAGTGGATAAACCGAAGGGGAGAACACGGAAAACGAACCACCTGCGATCACCCCCCTTCCCCACCCAGGAGAAACCTAAGTACTTCCAATACGCCTTCGCAATTTCAATATGATGGTACCCACTCTTCAAATCGAACGTAACCA